AGCTGCTGCTTCAGAGAAGAGGGGAGCCTTGACAGCATCCTCAGAGTAGTACGAAATGCTAAGTCACTAGGATTGTGAGCTCATGCACATTTCCACTGTGTGGGTATGTGTGTGTGTGTTCTTAAAGAGTGGAACGTAGAAGTGGATGAAGGTTCTGAACATTTGTGAGATTTTTGTCCTTCAAAGTAAAAGCAATGGGCTCTAAGAGGGATGAAGTACATGACGTAAGAGCCTTTAGCTAGAACTTGTATTTCAGCACACTGATAGGAATCTACAACCTCCTAGAATCACTTGTAGTGAACAGCCCTTCAACATGTCCCTTAAGAAATAGCCTATTCAATAAATAGGTATTCAAGAACTATTGCAAGTACTTGTTGATCTAGCAATTGGGGGCAAACAATTGCCAGTTAAAAAAAAATCAAAATGCCTTGTGGAAAGTATCCCATATGCTGCTTGATTAAATACAAAAAGAGAAAGACAAAATGTCTTGTTGTGTTGGTATCTTCAGAGCAGGATTGGCAAGGAAAGGCCAGCTCTCCGGACATTTGCCCCAAGCCTCATGTGGCAAGAGCAGAACTGTTTGGCCCTCTCACAAGGTCTAGGAAGCAATGAGCGCTCTGGGGTAATTCTGAGCAGTGACAGGAAATGGGTTAGTGTGTAAGAGCCCCTCGGGAAATGCTGACAGGGCCTTAGTCCCTCAGGACCACCCCCCCTCCCCGCACTCACTTAGCTCTTGCTTTTGTTATGTCTTATGAAAGTGCCACTTTGAGACATTTACATTCCTCCTCAATTGTTCCTTCAGGTCTAGGACCGGATCACATCATCTTGCTTTCCAATGAGCTGTACACTCATTTTTATTTCTATGTGTCTGTTTGGGTACCCGCAGAGGCTCAAACACGGTGTCAAATCTCCTGGATCTGGACTCACAGGTGGGTAGGGGCCGCCCGAACTGCGTACTGGGAACCAAAGTTGGATCCTCTGGAAGAGTTGCCACGGTCTTAAATCACATAGCCATCTCTCCAAGCCTGGGGCAGTTGCAATATTAGGAGCCTGTGGCTCACATAGTTCTAAAATAATCTGAAAGTAACTTCACAATTTCTTGTTTATAAAATAAATTATATATTTTTTAAAAAAATTCAGAAATATATTAGGAGTTCCATAACTCTTTCCGTAACGTCCTCACCCACTAAACACTCTGAATTCTTTCTGAGCTTTCATACTCAGGGTCATACAGTAGCTGACTCTGTACTTAGCACGCTGGCGTGGCACGTTCTTGTCACCAAAGTTCTCTTCAAAACGGCTCCACAATGCTCCCTTCATACTTTCAGTAACAATTAACTGTCGATATTAAAAAAAATTACCTAAGTGACACAGATTTTTACGAGCTGCAAATTTTAAGACTCTACTATGCCCTCCAGGGGAGAAGTCAGGAAGGAAACTCTCCTGTGTCTGAAGGTGGAGCAGGTCAGGGGAGACAGGTGAAGCCCAAGGCCACTCCATGTGACCCGGGCGGTGCCTTCAGCTGAGGTACGCGTGGATGGTGAGCTGTTGCGTTGAGGGTGCAGCCCGCAGTGAGGGGAGGCAGTTGAGCTGAGAGGAATGTTCAACCCAGAGAAGTACGGAGCTGCTAAGTGACAGCTGTACACGTCAGAAGGACGGAGCCACTTCTGGAGCAGATTTCCGGCTTATTCCAGTTGGTAGATCTAAAGCTGGGAGCTGAAACAGCCAACATTTTTAGCTTGGCAAACAGGTTTGAGGATTATTATCCAGAGATATTCTGTGAGGTGCGGGGAAGCATCATAAAGGTGTTCAAGTAGGGGGACAGCTTTAGCGGTACCGGGGGTGGGGTGGGATTGCCTGTTCTCCTTTATGATGTCTGTATAAAGGATGGAATGCACCAGATCACTATCTTTACCTTTGAGTCATGTACTTTAGAAGAATGAATAGCACTGGAGTTTTGTGTTTAAGCCACCACGACCTGCTTCTCACACTGAGCAGCTTAGGGAGGTTTACTGGTACTCTCGTGCCCAGCTATATGGTTTGGCCAGGCTGGTGGCTTCCTCTTGTCTCTTGGTGTCCTTGAACCTTAGAAGACCCACCCGCCACTGCTGTGGGAGTTCCTTTGGCTCCTTCAGCCAATCGCCGCTGAGTTACCAGCCAATTGGGGCGTGGTCTCTCTCTCTTTTTAAAAAAAGCAGCGGCTGTCTTCCACTCCCTCATTGGCTTCCGGCTCCGCTTCCGGCTCCTAGACTCCTTTCCTATTCGCTTGGAGGGGCTGTTGTCTGGGACACTAATCTGTAAGTTTTTTCTCCTTTGAATAAATAACCATTCTATTAATCATAATTCCAAACTGGTGTGGGATTGTCTGTGACTTACGCCTTCACGTCACTGCCGTGTTCTTGTCCCCATCTCTGAGGCTGATAATCGTGTGCTTAGGCTCCAAGGGTGTGCACTTTGAGGCATTAAACCCTGGCTGGCAGGTGGCCTTGCCATTTGCACTCGCTCTGCCTGGGCTCTTTCTGGGCTTGCACTGACGGTTGAGTAATAAAATCCTCCCTCTAGTGGCTCCAGCTCAAACATGATCTTACCCTACAGAGATCAGGCCTGAGTGCCCGAGACACTCTGGAGCCTGAGGAGGGCCGACATTCCACTGCTGAACAGCTGATCCTCCTGAAGGCTATGCACACACCTCCCAGCTGGGCCAGTGTGACCCCACATGACCCCACATCCTGACCCATGCACCCACAGTCATAGGGCGCACGATCACCAGCCTGTACCCGGCCATGGCTGAGGACACTTATCTTACTGGTTTGCTATTTGAGGGCAAGAAACTGTCTGGCTTTCCTCAAATCCAAGTTCAGAGTCCTCTGCCTTCCTCTAGCTGGCGGACATCCTAAGCATCTTGGCGAAAGGAAGGATATGATAGGTTGGCGATCTTTGTAACAATGTTACTGAATCTTTCCTTTTGGCTATGCTGGTGGGGAGAGGCTACTGTCAATTGGGTGGCAGCATTTAAGGAGCCTGACAGGCTAGGGAGCATCGCCTTTCTCCCATTATCAATGGGATACTGCATGTAATTCAAGACGTAGAATTATAGTATTCACACTGCACTGGACATAGCCACTACTCATGAAGGGCGTGGATGCTGGGTTGACTGGTACTCTAGCGGTCCCCATGCTACCCAAGGTAGCAATCATAGAGAGAGCAACTCTGTATCTACCCATTTCTTTCTTCCAACTCACAGGTCCACCTTACCACTTCTCAGACTAAGAGCTAATGTTGAAACCAGTTAACCTTCCAGCAAAGTTTAGTTTACCCACAAAAGGGCTGCCCCTTCTGTTTACTGAGCCAACATGTCACTAGGTCAAGTTCCATTTACAGAGAAGAGGTTTTCCTAAGACTGTCCAGGAACCTCTGTAAGTGGCTAGCCCCTGTACCCATGCATTCTGTGTGTGTAGAATTAACCAGTCCTTGAAGGAAAATATTTTGGGGGGAAAAAGCCTTTGCACTACACATGTATGGACTATCTTCTCATCATTATCTACATTATACTATCAGACAATATTATATTACATTAGCTGTCATACAAGATGTAGTGACAACTCTATATAGGCAGTTACATGCAAATACTACAGAAATTTACTATTTAAGGGACTTTTAAGTTTGTGTGAGTCTGGGCATCTGTGGAGTCATAGAATCTGTCCCCCACAGATATCAAGGGATGACTATCTAACGTAGTCAGATGGATACCATGGAGCTTGAGACAAACACTAGAACAAACAAAAGGCTAAAAAAGCCCAAGGTGCCAGGTAACGGGGTGCTTCCTCTGACCTCTGCCATATTCACAGTGAAGGACACGGAAGTGTGTGGTTGGTATGCACGCTAGGGCAGGGCAGGGTCTACGGCTTACATTATGAGATGCCCCTTCTGTCTGACACCAATGCTTATCCTACGCTGTGATACCTTTGTCTTTGAAGTACTGGTCAGCACTGACGGGACCTGCTGCTTCTCCTCAAGGGGCTTTCTCAGCTATGGCAGGTCTCTTAGCTAACTCATTCTGCACTCCAGGGGCTGGAGGAACCATTCAAAAGTAGAGGGAGGGCCCACAAGACGGTGCAGTGAGTAAGGAGCTTGCAGTCCAGCCTCATGACCTGAATCTGGTCCAAGATTACACGGGAGGGGTGGAAGGGAGGGAGGCAGGGCGGGAGGGGAAGAGAGAGAGAACTCACACAAGCTGTCCTCTGACCACCACGTGTCCTGTGCTGCATGAACAGCCTTCAACCAAACATATACCCAACAAATATATGAATGACTATACAAACGTGGAACTTTTCTGATTCCCTCCTTTAACCACTATGGTGAGCCAATGAACAGACAATACTATGCAAACTCTATTAAAACATTTAATCCACTTTGGGTGGGAGTCAATTTTCTGTATTACATACCTCCAATAAAGCAAAGCAGGGAGGAAAAAAGAGAGCTCTCCCTTCCCCACTCCATGAACGCCATCTGGGAACAGTAAAGCGAGCTCAATTTTTAAAGGCTATATTGCTTAATGGGATGAGATCATTTTGACACGTTTGTGTTGGCTGCAGATAGGATTCTGTTCTAAACAGTGGGCATCAGTAAGGAAGGGGACCTGATGTTTTTCGTTTTATCTGGGGCTAAGGATCCATGCGAGAGCATGTGCCTAGGTCATCAGAGACCCAGGGTTGTTTCCAATACCATAAACCAACCCGAAACCTCCAAACACACCAAGAGTCGGGTAGTTTCGGCTGGACTTATGCCAAGGTGAGATGTGATGTCTAAGGTCACAGCACAGATTTAAACAAGTGGTCTCAGGGAAGGTTTCTCAATCCCTTTCGAGAAAATGCGTTTTCGATACATGCATATGGAATCTGATGTCATTTTCAGCTGACTTCTGAGCCACTCTCCTGGGCTGAAGGGTGAATCAGCAGACATGTGTGCTTCATCTACTTACAAAAGACCGACAGGGAGACTAGAGTTTCAGATGTTTTTATTCAAAGGTTCTCAAAAGAAATGAAACAGAAAAAGCTAACAATCTGATCAAATGTACAGTTCAAAAATGTCTTTTGGCGTTTTAACAAGTCCCAGGAAAGAAAACTACAGAGTCGTCTTGAAGCGGTAAGTCAGTCACCGCTGGCAAGTATGTAGCGCTAGTAGAACAAAAATAAAAAATTAACTCTCTTGATCATATAGATATCTCTATGAAAATCTTTTTTTTCAATCTGTACAAAAGGTCTTTCTTCATAAATTAACTTTTTTTATAATTTAATGGCTGTCTACTATGTGATGTTTAACTGACTTTTTCTTTTCTTTTTTAGTATGTACAGAGGTTGTTTCCCAAATCTGACCCAGACAAGTATGGCACTTAGTTCAGACAAACCTAGCAGCAGATTTCCCCTCCCCTACTGACTGAGTTATCCTCTTTCTGTCTTAACTAATGGAAAAAAGATCAAGTAGTGAGAGCCCCGGGCTGATAAACATACTAGGTATACGGAGACGCGGAGGGCGCTGCATTCAGTCTGGACTTCCACAAAGCACAATGTTTTAGGGAGCATAGAACCAATAATACCACAACTTCTTCAAAAACAAAACAAAAGAAAAAAGAAAAACAAAAAAGGAAACAAGAACAAAAAACACATTTCTCTTATGACTATGTAATTTTCCCTAGAATCTACACTTCTCAGAGCAGCAAGGACGTTTGAAACTATGAAATGTCACTGACATCTATCATCAAATACAAGCAATAAAATTTAAGAACTAAAAAATACTCAAAAGAAGTAACTGCTTAGCCCTAGCTCCCGAGCTAGGAGGATTTGGTCGGTGGAAACAGGGAGGGCCAGCAACCTGTCCCAGCACAAAAAGAAATAGCCTCTGAGGTAGATAACTGATCATACACAGCTGACCAGACAAGTACACAGTTTTGGAAGACAACTTAATTTACCATTGCTTTTAAAACGTATGCAATTGCCTTAATAAAAGAGCATTAATAACAATGACTTATCTCATATGTACTAAAGTAGAAATAACTGTTTATGAATCAGGAATTTCATAGTTTCAAAGTTGGTTTTCTTTACACTTAAACACCTGTAGTGATGACAGAAAGTGTGGTACGGCCTGGGTTCGAATCTTCCTTCATGCTTTTTTTTTTTTTTTTTTTTTTTATTTTTTTAAGATTTGTCTCTGTGAGTCCATACATCGGTTAAAATTATAAAACCTAATGCAAAGGTACAAAAAAGGCACGTTCTCCTAACCGCAAACTGGTCCGGCAAAAATAAAGAGCAGAGAAAATGGGATGCTGAGACAAGGTGGAGTTACTGGCTACTGGCTCTTCGGTCTTTGGTGAAGTTACCTTTAAAAGTGCCAAGTCATTTTTTAGTTTTTCAGATTTACCTAATAGAGAGTGAGCGAGCGAGCGAGCGAGAGAGAGAGAGCTAGTAGCCAATCGGTTTTCTTCTGATCATATCTCAGCTCAGGTTTGAAGAGGAATTCTTGTTTTGTTTTTTTTTTGTTGTTGTTGTTGTTTTTTTGGGGTTTTTTTGTTTTTTTCTTTTTTTTTTTTTTTTAGTTTTTGCCATTTAGTTTCAATAGCAAAATTATTTCCCACCCCCCTCTGTTTGCCAGATCACAGGCATGGTTCTCATTCTAAAGCACTATAGTATAAAGGACAAAACATTTGGTGACTCCCCTCCCCCACCCCCACCGCCAAAGCTACCTACGCTAAATCTAGAACATCGTTAAGTTTTTTTTTTTCTTCCTGAAAAAAGGCAAAAAAGACTTTACATTGCATCATACAGCAGATATTCTAAACTGGTCAAACTATCAGAGGAAACTGTCGGTGTGCAGCCTTACAAACGGTTTACCCTAGTAAAAGTCCCCCAGTCAGAAAATGTGTTTCACACGAGACAGTTCTCCCTTCTTGCACTCCGCTACCTTACACATTGTTATGTGAAAAAATCATTAAAAACACCTACTACATATTTAAAAAAGCCAAAATTTCAGCAACTTTTATTGACTACCTTTTAAAAGCCCTATGCTGCTGTTTGACAAGGCGTACTAGACCAGCCCATTTGGTCAAAGCATTCTACATCATTAGTTTGAACTAACTTTACTGAAACAGCTACAGCATCAAAAGAGTTAAGGCAAATTGGAATTCATAGAAAAGGATAAGACACGTCACACTACGTCGAAAGAAAAAAATGGAAAGCTAAGGAGAGACACCGAGGGCCACACGGAGTGACAGCGACACGCGCACCGCAAGCACAGAACACCATGGGCTCAGTGAGACAATCGGAACTTCAGAAAGCCCATTTCATACAGCCGAAAAAAAAAAAAGACAAATTAAACACAAAATGAACAAAACCACAAAAATCCGGTCATGCACTTGGATAAGTCTTCGTGGTCTTTGTGCATACCCAGAAAATTGAAGTTTTCGTTTTCTCTCTCTTTTTTTTTCTTTTTTGCATCATTATATTTGATAAAAATCTTTGATTTTTTTTGGTTTTTTTTGTTTTGTTTTTGTTTTTTACTAAAATAAACCTGTTCAGGGGAACAGCTACTAGATGAATTTAAGGGTTTTATGCACCTTATAGAACTTATAGCAAAAATAGTTTTAGTTGATTTCATTATAAATAACGTTTTCAAGAACCTGTGCAAAACTGTCAATAATTTCCTAAAGCACAATTGATCAGAAAAATCCATGATTGTTCAGCCTTCACACCCTTCTTCATGTAAGAACTCCCTTCGGTATATCTGCAAAAGAAAGATAAAATACCCATGTCTTTGCTGACTTAACAAACACACCACAGGGCTTTGTCATCTTTCATTTGAAAGAGGTTACATGTTTGAACAAGATGGTGCTCATTCATGGTGAGACTGAGGGACATAAGCTGGGGATCTGAGGGTCACTTTCAGTTCCTTGAATCCCCCTTTCAAGTTTGGGACTTGCAGGATACTTTCTTCTCTAAGGCAGCCAGGGCCAACTCCACACCACTCTCAAATGAAGGGTGATTTGATGAGATCAACAACACATATTGTTACAAGACAGCCCAGAGAGTGGATCCCACATAGAGTTGCTTTTCTGAAATACGTGTGGTACAGTGAAGTTGGAAATCTGTGACCCCAGAGAGAGCTGGTAATAGGACCTTTAGTTCTGAGGATGCTAACAATCTGAATTCCTAGTCAAGATGTGGATGACCTTGTAAGACCTGATTAAGCAACATCTTAAGCTGTATCTCCTTAGTGAGTATTTAAGTGATATAAACAGGATGCTTCTATTATAGGACGATTTTGGAAATCAATGTTCTATGATGCTTTATATATTATGACTTTGGGGTAGAGGAAATACAGATTTGATTTCAATATAAAGCATCGGTTCTTTTCCAGACAGAGTCTGTAAATTCATTAACACGTTAAATCTGTGTTTTTCTAGGCATCATTTGATAAAAGTCCCCCCCCCCCCCGACTGCTTCCTAGGAGCCCTGCAGTTAGCGAGACTTTTCCTTCATACCTCACAGTTACTTATTGTGTTGAAAGGTATATGGAGAATGGTCATTAGATGTCTCCACAGCCACCTGCTGCTGGCTACTTGCTTCCTACAACAAAACAGAATGCATGAGACACATTAGCCATGGAATTGTAACTCAGCTGCTGAGGCCCGAGTCCAAGGGCATACACCTTAATACACACACTCTTCAAAGTGAATTTCTTCAAGTCAAACAGAGCTTCTAAGGCTAATCATTACCCTAATACAGCTGAAATATGACAGAGCGCAAGAACCTCCCGTCTAAATGTTTAACGTAAATATTGATCAAAGAAATTTTTTGGCTCCATCTCCTGGGAGCTAGATATAGTTTAATAATTCAGTATTTTCAGGTTTTAGAGTCTGAGACACAGTGTGCAAATGTTGCATGTCGTAGCCCTGCCCCCACCCAAGCCATCCACCACACCTCACAATCAAACTTTCCAATATTTATATGCTGGAAAGTGTGACTCAACCCAGTACATGGAAGCAGGGCCTGTAACCTCAGCCACTTGAGAGGGGAAGCAGAGGGTACAAGTTCACAGCCTGTCTGGCTTACGAAACAAGGTCATGATTATAAAAGGGACTTGGACATAGCTCAACAGCAGAACATTTGCCTGGCATGAGAGAGGCCCTGGCTGCACCTCTCCTAAAATAAGAATAAATCAGTAATAAAACAGAAAGCCAGAGTACTTTGGATATTTTGTCTTGTCTCAGTTCACACCATGTCTGAAAGACCACAGGTCAGGCCTTGCTGAAGTAGTTACAGGGCACATTTTTGTTTTCCATTGTTACGGAGGTTTCATGTTATGGAGACCTGCATATGAAAACCCATGGGTTTAGGCAGTTGTGACTCTTCAAAGATGTGCGATCAAGAAAATGCTACAACCAGAGTTCTCAAGAACCTTTGGGATCTGCTGAGTGGGTTTGGTAACTGGACTGATAAACTTCTGTGGATTCTTGAGAATACTCTGCAAGACAATACTATGCTTCCTGTCCATTCATAATTCAATGCCAGTCTTCTACAAATGCAGTATATTCCAAGATAATAACCAAGAGTAGTTAGCTATAGAAAAGGGAGGATTATTCCTCATGCTTGTTGTCATTTAGAGATAGCAGTTTTTCTTTTTCCATTGTCTGAATTATGACCAGTGTCTTTCTGTAAGGCTTACCACTGGTTCAATCTTTAGGACTAGAATTACAAACTCCAATTTAATCTTAATGTGTCTGTAAGTATCATTTTGTAGGTAACAAGAGAAAGTCTTGAAGCTATGACACGTGCTACAAGATTGCAAAGTTATTTGGGGAGAAGGGAAGTATGGACTACAATGTATCTGGATGTTGCCATACTAATTTGCATAAAGAGTATTTTACAGTTGGAAAATAATACTACATGAATACTCTTTCTAGACTCATTTCTTTAGCTATACAGCCGAAGCTGGTCTGAACTCATGGATCCTCTTGCCTCAGCCTCTCTGGTGCTGGGATAACAGGCATGTTCTACTATGCCTTGATAAAATATTGACTCCTGATAGGTTTTTGTTGTTGTTGTTATTCTGTTTCAATGACTCAGATGGAAAACTACCCATTGCCTCAGTGGCAGCTCGGATGTTCTATACCAACCTCAACGGGAACCGCCGCTGTCTGCATGTGTGTATACTGTGGCAAATAGGCTCCTTGCATGGCTGACGTCGCAGGCATGTACTGGAAAGGAGAAGGTGATCAGGTGTGCAGCAGCAAGCCATGCAACATTCAGATTTCTGGAGGGCAGGGGGTGGAGCGGGGTCTGAGCTGGCTGTACAGTACTTGAAAGTCGCAGAGAATAAATTTACATGGGTTCCCCTCAAAGCTTAATTAATGCACAAGAGTATGTCATTGGAAGGTCAAATAAAAAAATGCCATATTTCTTTGAATCTACCAAAAAACAAAACCAAACAAAACAAAAATCCCTGCCCATGTGAAGGTCATTTATGCTTCTCATCTACAATAATTCAGTATCAACAAGGTGTCATAAAGATCTCTCAAGAGGCCACGTTATTTTCTGGTCACTCCTGAGTTGACGCCTCATACTATCTGCGTAGGGAGAGACTTGAAGGGACTGTGAGCAGGCCCTGCAGATGTGGCCAGGGAGCCCCAACTGGTCTAGTTCAGCAGTCTCATTTCTTAAGCCAGGCAGCCTATTTCTGGGCCATGTATTGTCCTGGATTCACTTTCATGAGAAGCTGCTGCTGGTTTGCCCCTTTCAGCCGCCACAAACAGGCTGAGCTGAACGCCGCTGGCTGTCTATCTTTTACAGTTGGCCTTGTACTGGTTCAGCCTTCGAACTCGACAGGTTCCTTGGACTGGAGGAAAGCAAGTCCTTAAAAAAATCTGCAATTCAGCGCTGCATCACTGCATGAAAGAACAAATGGGACACTGCATGCCCTCTGTGACCTGCACATCTTTCCCTTTGTGACCTGTACCATGCTACAAGCTAGCATGGGCATGCGTGGGTGCTATGTGGGTGAGGGAGACATATCCACAGGTCATCTACTAATCAAGAATAATGTGAGTTCTATCTGACTTTGTTGGGGAGGCTGGACACAATCATTGTCACCCCTACCCCGCAAGCCTATACTTTCATTAGGAAAGACACAGACTTCCTTAAATTCACTTTCTTCTATTTGCAAAAACATAGGATATTAATTTGCCACCTACTGTTCCGGTGCTGCCTAGTGACAGATGACTCATCTGCTGGGCCAGAGGGCTGATCATAGAAGCGGGCTGTAGTGACATGGTGTGTTCCATTGAGGGAGTTAACACGGCACCCTGGGAAGGGGAGAAGAGGTACAAATTGAGCGAGAATTAGAGTCTGCAGTTAAAATTTGCAAAGGAAAACCCTGTGTTGAGGCAAACATAACCTCCTTCAAACTTACAAGAGGTACCCTGAACAACTACCCCAAATCTCCCAGATTGCTTTCCTGAAACTTTCATCAAGAGTTGAGAGGAGGGGCTGGAGAGATGCTCTCAGTGGTTAAGAGCATTGCCTGCCCTTCCAAAGGTCCTGAGTTCAATTCCCAGCAACCACATGGTGGCTCACAACCATCTGTAATGAGGTCTGGTGTCCTCTGCTGGCCTGCAGGCATACACGCAGACAGAATTATGTATACATAATAATAATAATAATAATAAAAAGAGTTGAGAGGAAGCAGCGGTGCTATTTCATCCCACTGAAATCCTGTGTTCTGCCTGCCCTAACTGAAAAGCCAGACAGGCTGGCAGAAAGGGCAGTGGCATCAAACAGACCGAGGACGACTGGCTTCTAGGGCTGCCAGATGTTGGGGAGGGGGAAAAACCGCTTTTGCTTTCTACAGCTACAAAAAAAACCCCAAACAACAACAGTAACAGCAGCAGATAGGTGATCAATATAGCAGCTTGTTTAAACACATTTTGCACGTAGTCATCTAGTTTGAGATGAAGTAGGTAGGACCAAAGAGTACGTTCTTCATGTCTGGGTATTTTTCAGAACTTCCTGTCCCATGCCTGGGAAGCCAATTTTGGTAATACCGCTCCAGTTCCATGATCACTTATTTTGCTTGGAAATTTTTTTGCCATCAACAATTCACTTAAATGTATATAAGAAAATAGGAAAGGAAAAACATCACTCATATGATCTCTCTAACAGAACCAGCATTAGCAGAATCTAACTGGAAGCTAGATTCTGCATCAGAGAACACGAATAATTGCCTACTTTGAGGTCTTGCTTACAACTTAGTTTTTCTACTGGAAATGGTAACTGCCTCACTGCCACTGATCTTAATGGCTAGACAATGCCATACTGACGCTACAGCAACAAAAAGGGAATTATTTGGACCTGTGTCTAAATTTCTCTACATAATCAATGGATTTCTACCATTCTTCTCATGTTTGCAATCATCTGTTATAGCACACTAGTCTTCTGCTCTACTCCATAATTAGGAACATGTATGTGGTTTGGGATCACTGTAGCTGGCTGCCCTGAAACACACTGGCGTTTACTAATTATCAGATACCAGTTCAGGGCACAAGCAGGTGTTTCATACAGTTTGAATCTGGGTGGAGAACAGTAACACAGGTCTCCTCAAAGAGTCCAATTGAAATATATGCAGTACTTGTCTCTAAATTTATGAAAAGGTACAACATCAAAAAGTACAGAACAACAAAATCAAGACAAAGTCTAGATAGTGGAGAATGGGTCTCCTGATTCCTCCTCCTCATCTATACGCACCCCTGTACACTAAGGGGTTCCCAAGTGCACTGACTTCCGCCTTTCCATATGCAGCATCAGGTATGAGGACACAGACTTTCATGGGAATTGTAGCTGCATGTTACGAACATGGGTGCAGGGTGTGTAGACTTGTGGATGTGTGCAGAAGAACAGGTACAAAAGACATTTTATTTGCACCTGAATGGTTGTATCAGTATTTCTTGGCTACTGACTGCTGCTATTTTACCCATATGGCCTCACAGTATAGTGTCCACTGTTGATGACTCATGAAGAGAAATTTCTGTCTCGTTTTAAGGCCAAGAGTTGAGTTCTTTTCCTAAACAAATGATCTGGCTTTTGTATTATAAATGTTGTCATGTCTCTTGCATATGAGAATGCCGAATTTGCACTGGTTAACTAGAAACCAAAGGGCCAATTCTGTGGCCTTTTTGTGGCAAGTGTGTGGGTCATCAAGGGCATTCTTAGTGATCTGTGAGTTGGTTCTACACACTTGTTTTTGACTTTTGACCCTATGGATTTTGTGTATGTTAGAAAGGCATACACTGTATAATAAGATCAAATATAATGTTTAAAAAAATAATATACATTAGGATAACCAATGTTGAAATCGATGAAAAAATTGTATTTGTTATTAACGAGGAACACAGTGCTCTCTTAGGGCTTCCTTCTACAGATGGGCTAAGTGACACTAACAAAGAGCCCTGCCTGGATCTGAACTTTATGTTTAAATCACAAAGAATGTTAAAAAAAAAGCCATTTCTTTCCATACATTGTAAAATATTTAGTTACTCAACTAATGGTATCCTACCAAACTGGCTTAGTAGAAGACCTTGCCTCAAATAGGGTATATTTTTAAGTTTTTATATAAAAATTAGTATCTACCAATAATTCATTTTAAGACAAAACCGACTTAAAGTGTCACAATAGGCTGGCACATTTTCATATTCTATGTTTGAGTTTTTCCACTACCTGCCCCCCATCTTTGGTAGAGGGGTTTTAACCCAACAGGCTACATGTCACACATAGCTTACTTAGAGGATAGGAGGTCATTAACACGAGACACTTACAGGATGCTGTAGGATGTAAGGTTGAGGTTGCATCCAAGAAGGACTTTGCACCTAGAAAAGGGAGGATTTTGAAAGAAACATTGATTTCTTCTGCAAAAATAATTGAACGCTCTACAATTCCTTTTAATCGTGTTAAAAAATCTACAGAAGGAAGATAAGGAGACAACACTATCAATGATTACAATGGTTAAGGCAGTCAGAGCTCCTGACAAACTGGTCACTCTACACTGAGATGAAACGATCATTCAGAACCAATGTCAGTTTGCCCACTCAGTACGGAGTTACTGAAGATTAGGGGCCAAGGAGCAGAAGGCATGGATGGGCTTCACTTCACCCTTGAGAAAGACACTGTCTAAGGAAAGGAAATAAAAACGTACACAATCCAAATTAGTGACGTGTTATAGTCAATGTATGAACTACGTTTTAGGGATACTGATGAATGAGGATTAATCGTAGAACGTTTCATTAGAAACTAACCCTCCCAAGCACATAATATTTATAAAGAATAACCAAATGCAATCTCTTTGATAATGAGGAAAACAAGTTGAGGAATTTTGTGTAGTCCTCAACAATTGCTAGTTAGTGAGGAGAAGAATGTCTGAAATGCAGACCTAGGATATTACATGGGAGGTAACCAGATCTTGACATCAACGGTTAAGTTAAAATGGCATCCACACAGCCACCTCTGAACTGAGAAAGCAGATGTGAGGGCCAGGTTTGTGGCAGGAAGGAAACAAACACCCTGCCCAGGAAGAGAGGAGCAGTCTGCTTTCTCGATGCCCATGGCTTTTCAAGGTCTACGGAATTGTCAGGAAACATTCCGTTTTCCAGGGCGTATCAGAACCCTCCTGCGTCCTGTCCCTGAGTGTTAACTTCAGAGATTCTACAGAGAGAACACGGGGAAGAGTCATGGGAGAGAATGGAGCGCCATTTACCTTGACAGCAGAGCCCCGATACTTGCTTTCTCTGGTTTCCTTTGCCACCTAAGGCAGACCAAAGTTAAGTGCTTCTGCCTTGTTAACATTGCAGTTATCTGGACTGCAGCCTTTCCCACGGGGGGGACCGCTGCTTTCGCGCGGACGCCACCTTCTCAAATCCAACTGCATAAGCACATGGCGGTTTAGTGGAGAAGGCCAACTCCAACTTGAGTGTGGGCCCTTACAGACACAGCACGAGAGGAGAGCAGCTCCTGGGAACCCCGATCTGGGCCAGATGTCCCTCACGTTTTTATGCCTCCATGGCCATAACTGCCTATGCACTCAAGAGTATTATAGGTTAGGGAGCTGTGACATCTCATGCCATGTTTTTATCTCAGCAGCGAAAGCAGCCGCTGTCAATTACTATTCCTCAATGCTTCCTAATTATTATAAAATGGGAATAATAATCTATTACCTTCTTACCATTGGTTCTTTGAAAACATGAAATAAAAAGAACTTCATCCCAAACTAAGTATACACAAACAACATTGTTGCAAACACCTTAAAGGGACCTGGCATTACTTGGGAGCATATTAACCGACCTCTGCTTGGCACTTGAGGATATAAGGAGAGGCACCCACCATCTGAGAGGTTATGCTACTGAGCATCAGGCAAAGGGGAAAAAAATTCTACATGGGTCTTACAAAAATCACAGAATTCCCAAAGAAAGAAATGAGGCCTTGAAATGATAGGCTATCCGTAGCTAGCCATGTCCTGTTGGTTCCCGACACTGATCTGATTTTTTTTATTCTATCAAACGACTGACAGGCGAACGGCTTTGAAGGGGAAATCAGTGGTAGAGAGATGGATTAAGAGCTGCAAAGTCTATAGCAACATGATAATTGATAGTCTTTTGTGTGCTTGAGAGTGAGCGCCCACACGCCCTTATTTTTAGCGATACAGACATGACGGATCGCCATTTTCAGATCATCAGAGACGACATCTTAATATCAGCTGGAAATGCTGCTTATGAAGGGAGATATACTACATCCACCCGCTCTCCCTGAGAGACAAGGAACAGACTGGGATCGTAACTCCTCATCAGCCAAAGAGACTTAAATAAGTCTCCACATCCAGAAGACTGGCACATCAGAGTTAAGCAATGACTCAGGAAGGATAAAGGAAAGACAAGGTGTGGAGATTGGGGGGAGGGGACCCTAAAGGCTAACGGTAGCAGACACTGCTGTGAGTATACAGCCTTCTCTTTTTATACGTTATTTTCATAGATTTTAAGCAGAGCCAACTTATACTGAGGATTACTGAAAAAGTGCTTAATACATTAATATGTTCAATGCTGCTGCTGCTCGCTAACACTTACTGAATATTAATGCTATGCCAGCCCTGGGTGGAGCCTCTAATATTTTTCATTTAGTGCTCCGAACTCTCTCAAGCTTGTAAGGGAGAAACTACTATCCCCATTTTAAAGATGAGGAAACTGAGGCTTATGGCTATCAACTAGCACATCAGCTAGATCAGATGCTGTAGTCCCCTAACCCCAGACATCAGGACTATAACATCTAATTGAGTATCACAAACAAGAACACCTGAGGTTTAGTCACACCAGATCCCAGCAGTCAACAGAAGTGAACTCCCCCCAGGTCAGTAATTGAACTCAGTAACAATGCTGACTGGACCCAGGCAGTAGTAACCTGTTGTGGGGAAGACAGCTACAGGAAGAGAAAGGCACATGTGCCTCGCTAGCCCAGGAATACCATCAGATCAGTGTGGGACAGGGAGCTTAATGAGGGCTCATTCCTCAGCTGGGAATACAGTTGAAGGTAAAGTTGCCTCGCAAAAAACAATGAGACAGGAGCTAATTAATGGCCTCTTGCTTCTTGGTGGGGGGAAGGACCTCAAATCTTGACTGCACCAGTTAATGTCACCTAATAGAGACGATCCTGTGTTAGCAGTTTTAACTGCCTTTTTAAAAATCGCTTCCTGCTAGGGAGTAAACAAAGACAGGAGCGTGCATCCGCTCGCCAGTCTGTGATTCTCCCAAGTTTCCATTCCTGGGACACATGATAAAAGAAGGACCCGGGTTCATCCCTATTCAAGGACCATGTGATGATCCCAAGCATTTCCCTGGCTTTCCACTCTCCTACACAGAGGAGCTAATTGCTATGCCAAATAGAAGGCAGCTTAGTACAAACTAGGTAGCGAAGCTGCACAAAATTTGACTCAGATTTCATTTGAAAACTGTTCAGCATTCGAAGACACATGAGATTGCAGCAGATACAAGGTGAGCTGCTGTCGGGCCCTGAGGTACAAACCTGGTAGGCAGACACAGGAGATGCAATATAGGGTGTAAGAGAAGTTTGACTGATCATTCGGTTTGTGGCAATACTGTATGGTGAAGGGTAAAATCTAGAACAAACACAAAAGCCTTTATTAAGTAATCCTTCCAAGGAATAATTCACGGAACAATGTCTGACACGTTCACCTTCACCGTCCCTCACGCCACGATGCACTGATCCTAGTGACATACCCGTTATGGAGAGCAGCCGTAGTCGGGTCATACGTGAGTGTCATTCCAGCCTAGAGGAAGCAGAAGGAACATGAAAATCTATCCAGAAAGGCACGATTTGGAAACTGTGTCTTATAGAGTCCCTGTAGCATACAATGGCAATAGTCACGCTGAATAAAATTGTAAGTTTCTGTTAGCCAAGCATGCTCACAAACTCTGTGAGAATTGAGCTCCGCTGTGCTGCCCCACACGGCAGCCATTACCACAAGAAGCTACTGAAAATTAAATAGAAACCAATCCCTCCAGGAATAGTCAGACATCACAAGCGCCGAGGGCCACATGCGGCTGTCGCTGGACAGCACAGGTTCAAAACATTTTCTTCACACATTCTTGGTTTTTTATGTTCTTTTAAACATAAAAAAAATTTATTGAGTTACAAGGAAGAGGAAGCCCAATGCTTCATTAAGAAATTGAAGATCTTTTTTTAAAGGATGCTTCAAAAGATTGTTTGCCTGTCTGTTTGCTTTTGAGAGAGAGAGAGAGAGAGAAAGAGAGAGAGAGAGAGAAAGAAAGAGAGAGAGAGAAAGGGAGAGAGCGAGCGAAAGAGAAAGGGAGAGAGAGAGAGAAAGAGAACAGTATGTGGAGGTGGGGAGGGAAAAGCATGATCAGAATATTTTGTATGACACAATATTTTTTTCAGTAAGAAAACAACCCACAATATAAGGGTCAATTCTCGGTGACAAATATACTATTTATTTTAATGTTGAGGACATTAAAGATTCCTGACTACGATGAATGAAAACCTACTGAGAAAGCTGAGCCTCCACACTCAAACCCTTCATAGTCATGGTTTTGCCGAAGCACAGTGTAGCTCTTCCCATCTCTACCTGTCCTCCTGGGGAAGGCACACTCAGGACTCCTGCACCAGAGACAGCGACAGCTATGGTCCGACAGCCTTTGCGTGACAAGGCACCGACGGGAAGGTTTAGTCTGGACTGTTTCAGAAGTGCGGTAGGCCAGTCCAGATGCCCCCGTAGGGCTGGCTTTCCATGAGTGTTCAGGATGGCAAACCCACACTCGAGTTTCAAGAAAGGACTTACAAGTCTCACCTCTCCTTCTCTGTGCCATGGCCGCCCATTAGGGATGTACTTGTTTGGGTTCTGCCTCTTCTTCTGTCCTCCATCCGCAAACTTGCACAGTAGCGGTTCTGTAGGAGCTGTGGACACAGGAAGCTGATGTGAGCGCACAATCCTAAGCATGTCTGACAACATGGAAGGGGATTTTTCTTTCTGTAGGAGAGCACTGCTAGTGCCGAGAAGAAACACTTTGAAGGCAACAAATCTCAGGCCCTGCGATTCCACGGAGGAACAGCAGCACTGGCTGATGTCACTGAACTGGAGCGTCACGGAGAAGCCGCCTCCAAACACTGCAGCGCTGTGAGTCTCTCAACCCTGGGCACTCTAGAGTTCCACCACTGGACAGTCAGCAGATACCCCACAAAGGCACCCGGAACACTCCTCCAGCTTCCCAGACAGTGCTCTGCCCCTGGGAGAGGGTAAGCCTGTGTCATGTCAATCACACCATGCTTCTGCTTACAGCTTTTGGCTGTTTGTGAGCTGTTCATGTCTGCCTTTCTCCCCATCTGTTCTGTTATTGCCATGTCCCCACTACAGCCACACTGCAGGCATGGATAAATATGGATGGGTCTCATTTGTGCTGAAGAAAGTCGCAGGGGCTAGAGATTCAGTGGTTAAGGACAGCTGCTGCTCTCGCAAAGAACCTGACTTTGGTTCTCAGCAGCACCTATCAGGCATCTTAAAACCACCTTTAGGCAAATTCAGGTACAAGAGAGCCAATGCCCTTTTCTGGCCTGTGAGGACACACATATGCACGTGAGCACACGTATGTGCACATACACATGAATGAAATATTGAAGTTACAAACACCTGTCATTTTTATTGAAAGGTTCTGCCATGGCTCAAATCTTCCCATGGAGTTGTTTTTACCATCCATTCACCATGATCCAAAGAAACATTCAAGAAATGAACGCTCAAAAACAAAACAAAACAAAACACAAAATATCCTCACTGAAAATGAGATGCAGGTGATACAACAGGCCATCCATGGTTTTCCCTCCACTCTGCCTTTCTGTGACAGACAAACCAGCACGGTCCTGGAGTTGTGTGTTTTCCTGTATGTGTCTACTTACTGCAATAAAGCCTCTCACACCTTTCTGTCTGGCTCCCACACTCAGTTCTTTATCTCCTGGAGAACTACGGCTACTCCTTTTAAGCTCTCTTTCAAAGTTAAATAACCATGAAGAGAAAAACATCACTTGTGGGGAATTTGCTTCTTTTTCCTTTGCCTCTCATTATCCTAATTCAGCTCTTATTTTATATCACTACTACCCACCCACTAATGACAGGGTAGGAGCAAGACTGTCTCCTACCACTTACAACACAACACAAGCTGCAATCCCTTGTCTGCCACTCTGCATGTGTCCCTGGGCTGCTCACTTCTAAGTGGATGCGTTATGGTGCGGATGTCAGTCATCTTCTTCTGGTGCAAGCTCAGTCTGCAACGCTCCAAGGCAGGGCCTGGCAGGAGGCCCCTAGGTCACTGAGGTCATGCCCTCAGAAGTAGTGAAGGTGGCTCTCCTGAGCTCTCAACTTTTCCCAAGAGTGAGTCCCACCCCTTTTCAGTTGAGCTGATGCTGACACCTGACCCTGTAACTTTCTGAACCATGACCTAAATAAACCCCTTGTTTATAAAGATGCTCAGCTTCAGGTATTTTGTTACGGTAATGAAACAGGATGGGAAAGCTAATAACGAAACCGTTAGGTGTCTGATGAAGATCTCGTGTACATTCTTCTTTACCTCCTGATACTAACTCCCCAACCCCAGGCTTTCATGAATGAAGAATCCCATTTAAGGCAAACTGAGCACCATGGAAAATGGATGGGCAGAGGTCAAAGGTCCCTAATGTAATTAAACTATACAACTTGTCCAAGTGATAAAAGGTTATGGTTTTTGGGAAATTCTGTCCAATATCCACTGAAGGTAAACACTTTCACACAATGGATCAAGACAACTTTGGAATAATGACTAATGGTCCTTCTAAGTCCACAACTGGACAAGCATGGGACAGATGGGAACCCAGGCTGAGAATAAGGCATCCGAGCAAAAGCAGCAGATAGAAGACACGCTCTACTGAGAGGAGGGACTTACCAATATCTGACATCCCCTCAAGTTACCCACCTATGTAGGCAATCAGAAAGCGGTTACTTAAACTTCAATACTAAAACTCTCCCAGGTCCCTATGTGAGGGACCTTGTGCACAGGACCAGAAGGGGCTATGGTGGTGCAAGCTGGTCCAGCTGATGACTAAGGACAAAACAAGAGCTCAGCGGAGACAAACAAAATCCACTGTGCAGAGCCCACTGCTGCTCCAGGTTGGAAGACCGAGTTTTATTTGCTCCCCTAGGGTCAGGGCGAACATGAGGTAACCTGAGGGGCTGGACCTCTGCCCAGGCTCACAGTGAGGAGGCTTTAGAAAAACTAACTCTGCATTACTTGGCTTGTCAGAAATGCAAACTAGTTCCTTGCATTAGCATAAAATTCTCGCACAGCAAGAAGGCAATCAGGCAGGGCTCACTCTAAAGTGCATCTCCACGTAAGTGGCTAAGCAGCAAGACCCTTAACATATGCTTGGTGGCCAACGCGCTATCTGGGGATAATGTGATTCCCAGGCATGTTGATTCATCTGGATTCTGGCACCAGCAACCGTACAGTGTGGAGGTGAAGGTCCGGAGAGGGATGGCATATTTGTAAATACACCATTTACCATGAAACGAACAGAATGGGAGAAGTTCTTTTTCAAAGTGAATTCTATTTACTATTCTGTGCTGTCATTAAGATTTTTTCCCCCTAAAAGTAAACAGTAAGCAGATAAAGCAGTGTGTGCACCGGAGTGTCCATCTTAAGCAAAGAGTTTCCTACTTTAAAGAACTGTAAGCAGTTACAGATGGCATGTTTGTGGGACAGTTGCCAGCTCCCCGTTCAGCAAAGTCAGAGACTGCCTCACACTCCATGGGAAACAGCAAAAATCCCAGCCACCTTCCTTCCCCTATCAAAATTTTCTTCAGTCTACTTAGCCCAGTGTCCAGGATGTGTTAGGTCTGCAAGAGCGAGATGTTTAGTAAGTAGTCCGTAAATAAGAGGTGCGTGAGTTCAGAGTGGACAAGGATGTGCCCTAGCTTACGGTTAGTCATCAATAGGATGGAACACTGAGTGTAGACAAATATGCTTTAATAAAAACGTTCCACTGAAACAAATACAGATGCAGGAACAGCTGCCATTCTTTCCTGACACTGCTCCACTGACTTGGGGGGGGGGCACTGTTAAGAAAGAGACCATGCTCACAAGCTCTTAATGGCTTACTGACCATAAAGACCACCCAGTTGCTTTAGGAAAAGCAAGCCACACAATGTTAGGGAATTTCCTGGTGTCTTTAGCCACAAAGGGTTTAATTCACTGTAACTGACAGTTGTCTTGACACTGTGCAACAGTTGGAGGAGTGTGGTTAGATTTTCGGGTGGGAAAATAAGAAGTGAGCCAGATTTTTGTATCTTGTTTGTGTGTGTGCAAGTCTGTTACAGACGGGCGGCCTCACATCGTGAGCCTCTCCCGTGCTGCCGCTATACTGGACTGCAATGCAGGTCCTTGGCTTGCCTCTGGGAGCCGCAAGCACAGGTTCCCGGCTAAAGAAGCAGGAACCCCTGTGTGATGTCAGCTTGCTCTACAGCACAGACCCTTCAGGTAGTCTCCTTTGTCTTTTAGAAAGGAGATACTGGGGCACAAATGACAAATCAGAAGTATCAGCGTTGCGACCTGAGCAATAGTTAAGTTTGGCTGGATGAACTTTTCAGAATTAGCATGCAACAGTCAATCTTTAGCGTGGTCATTTTTCTAGAATAGTGACTTTTCATGATTTCCCTTACTTTTAACTGTATGCATGTGCCTGTGTCCATGGAGGCCAAAGAGCAGAGGTCTTGGGTCCCCTGGAGCTGCAGTCACAAGCAGTTGTGAGCTGGCCAACATGCGTTCTGGGGGACTTAATTCCACTGTAAGAGCTTTTAACTACTGAGCCATCTCTCCAGCCTCTTTAGCAGTAATGCTGTACCTTGATGTGGAAAAGGCTAACTACAGAGTTCTGATGAATGGTGTGTGTGTGTGTGTGTGTGTGTGTGTGTGTGTGTGTGTGTGTGTTGTTCACATGTGCACACAAGTCTAGCTGGTCATGTCTGTTATCTTATTCATCTTCCTCCCCCTTATTTCTGGAGCTCCAGGCATCCTCATATCTCTGCCTCTGCCTCATCAGTACTGGGAATACAGGCATATGCCTGCCCATGGCTTGCTTTTTTTCTTTTGTAAATGTGGGTGCTAAGAATATGAACTCAGATCCTCAGGCTTATGGGGCAAGCAGTTTATTTACTGAGCCATCTCCCTAGTCCTTGATGCATTGTTGCTCATCTACTTCACATAAAGATAGGATATATACATAAACTACGCTGAACCAATGGACTTTGCCAAGTATACAAGTGCTCTTAGGCTAAATGTACCTTTAATAAGGGTGAGCTCTGACATCTCGCATGATTTCCCAGGTCACGATCTCTTATCACCCAACCCAGGAGAGGTATTTTCTTCTGCGTCGGAATCAACAGGAACATGTACCTTCCAAATTCTGATGACTGTGGTGCTGTCTTGAACACAGTGAAGGGCCCCAGGCAGTACCACAGATAGACAGTGAGCTCATTTCTCCTGGCACCTTGTGAGAGCCATCTAAGGCAATGGCACTACTGGATTTTCCAATGTCTTAAAGCTGGGGCTTTTTACACATGCCTGCTTCTGTGGGGCCGACACTCCCTCCGAAGACAGCAGGAGTGGCTATACCCACAATGCTGCAGTTTCCATGATGAAGCTTAGGCTGTGATGGTCTGTGCAGTTGCTTCTCCTCAGTGCCCGCTGTGCGCACTGTGGTGCAGAAGGGGATCTTTGCCCGCCACTGCGTTCACCTAGCTACCTGGCCTCCGGGGGTCAGTTCTGCAGTTCAGAGAGCAGACCATCCCCCCGTGCATTCTAAAGGAGGCTTTCTTCATGCTTTCATGCTCAGACGCTGAGAGCAGTAGCCACTGAGGAGCCCACCCTTTTCACATC